TTCAGTCAAAGTAATGAAAACAATAAATATTTCTAATGGAATGCAAATACATTTTTTTTGGGTTATTGAAATGGGGGTTTCATTTTTTATTTGCTAGAACCCATGATGCAGTTGGATTTCAACAATATTTTCCACGTTTGTTTATATTTACATTGGGTATACAAAGTGACGTGTTCAGATATTCTGTTCAGGCTTAGAATGGCAAGGTAAATATAGGAAACAATTTCCAGCTAAATAAATAAATTTCTATCGACAGTGACCTAATTTACGCTAATAAATGAGTTTGAAAAGCCCAAAAACCCACTTAAAACATGACTAATCTGCAGCAATTTAGCTATTGCATTTATATGGGTCCGTGAATTTTAGTTTCTAGACCTGCAACAGGCACTTCACGATATATATATATATACATATAATTTTACAGCCATTTTTAATTAACCAAATATGTTTGTACGGAAGCAGGCACACAATTACACTTGTGCTCAAATACGAGTACAAAAATAAAGTGGGGAATGTGTAAATATGGCAGGCAAAATTAATTTGCCCAATGCAAATATGCAGAATGTGAAAATGTTTTCCTCCTCGGCCCCTTTTCCCTTACTTTCTGTATGTGCGGTGTCATAAATTCTTGGGAACCGAGAGGAAAACGCCAAAAACCATGACGGCAAATAACCTAAAATTTTTTCGCTGACGTTCTGGAGAGGAGAATGTAAGCCTGTGCAAACGCACCCACAATTGAAATGCAAGTCATGGGTTAACCAAAGCCAGTCAAAACCCCTCCAAAACTCCGCTTTCTGTTAGCCGTTTCCGAGAAATTTCACCTGCCTTCGGATATTTCCCCACACAACTGCTACAGCTTTCATATGCCCTGCTAATATGACTGGGTTTTGGTCCATGTCGGGTTGTACCCAGCTATACGACCCTGCCAACTACTGCCGACTGCAGTTAGTTACCCAGCGGGCGACATTGCAAACAAGAAGCTCATTTTCGACGACTCACGGGCAACCCAGCGAACATTTTCAATCACGTGTCCTATAATAGGTAAAAGTAATTTGGGTAGCTGGGATACTTAATGTACAATATTAGAGAATTCAAGCACAAGCTCAACGAGGTATTCCTCGTCTAAATCGAATCACATTAACTGAAGTTATGGAATTTAGAAGTGCAGTTTTGGGCACCGATTCTGAAAACCATTGGAAATTCGGAAAAACGGAACATGAAAATGGGTTAAAAATTTGACCATCGTTTATAAGAAATATTTAACTGTAGAATATTGGAGAATTGAAGTACAAATTCAAAGAGGTATCCCACGTCTAAATCGGAATCCAATAACTTAAGTTAAGAAATTTTGAAGTGCATTTTTGGGCACCGATTCTGAAATACATTGGAAATTCGGAAAACCGGAACATGAAAATGGGTTAAAAATGTGATTATCGTTTCCGAGAAATATTTTAATGTTGAATATTAGAGAATTCAAGTACAAATTCAAGGAGGTATCCCACGTCTAAATCGGAATGCAAAAACTCAAGTTATGGAATTTAGAAATGCAGTTTTGGATTTCGATTCTGAATCCCATTGGAAATTCGGAAAAATGGAACATGAAAACGCGTTAAAAATTTGACCATAGTTTCTAAAAAAAATGTTAATGTAGAATATTAGAGAATTCAATTACAAATTCAAAGAGGTATCCCACGCTTAAATCGGAATTCAGTAACTCAAGTTATGGAATTTTAATGTGCTGTTTTGGGTACCGATTCAGAAAACCATTGGAAATTTGGAAAAATGGAACATGAAAATGGGTAAAAAATTGGACCATCGTTTCTAAGAAAAACTTTAATTTAGAACATTAGAGAATTAAAATACAAATTCAAAGATGTATCCCATGTATAAATCGGAATCCAATAACTTAAGTTATGGAATTTAGAAATGCAGTTTTGGGCTTCTATTCCGAATGCCATTGGAAATTCGGACAAACGGAACATGAAAATGGGTTGAAAATTGGACCATCGTTTCTAAGAAAAATTTTAATGCAGAATATTAGAGAGTTCCAGTACAAATTCAAAGAGGTATCCCACGTCTAAATCGGAATACAATAACTAAAGTTATGGAATTTAGAAATTCAGTTTTGGGTTCCGATTCCGAAAGCCATTGGAAATTCGGAAAAACGGAACATGAAAATGGGTTAAAAATTTGACCATCGTTCCTAAGAAAAATTGTAATGTAGAACATTTGAGAATTCAAGTACAAATTCAAGAAGGTATCCCACGTCTATTTCGGAATGCAATAACTCAAGTTATGGAATTTTAAAGTGCAGTTTTGGGCACCGATTCAGAAAACCATTGGAAATTCGGAAAAACGAAACATGAAAATGGGTTAAAAATTTGACCATCGTTTCTAAGAAAAATTTTAATGTAGATTATTAAAAAATTCAAGTACAAATTCAAAGAGGTATCCCACGTCTAAATCGAAATCCAACAACTCAAGCTTTGAAATTTTGAAGTGCAGTTTTGGGCTCCGATTCTGAAAGCCATTTGACATTCGGAAACACGTAACATGAAAATGGGTTAAAATTTGAACCACGTTTAAAAGAAAGATTTCACATTAGATTACAAGAGAACTTATCAACAAACTCGTTTGAAGGAAAGATTCAAACCCACCGTTCAAATAATTTGTTCTCTGGGTTGCCAGTTGCATGTGCAGGGAGTATGAAGCAGGACAAGACTGTGCTCATTATGCATAAATTCTCGCTGCGAAACTGCGCTGGTGCACTGAATTATGGCAAAGTTAATGGTATTATAATGCCAAAACGCTGACATCTGCCCGAGCCAAGTGGATAGTGCTATCCCAAGAAATTTCAAGTTGGCCAAGGGCAAGAGTGCCGTAATTCCGTTGCAATTTCGAACGTTTTTAAAGCTCAAAGATGGCAGACGATGTTGCTGTTTGCGATGACTTGTTGCCCCAAAGGCGGAAGCACAGGGAGTGGGCAAATGACCCTCGTTTGTTGTCCTCTGTCGCTTACATGGGGTCACCCATGTCGGCATCGGTCACACAAACTCACACATGGACTCGCAGACTCAGACAAACACCTTTTAGTCCCACCCCCTTTAGATTTTTACCCATAATCTTTCTTTTTTATCGCGAGTCTGGAGTCACAGGACATGGATTTAAGGCTACACTATGAAAACAAGGCCGTATTTTTAAGTTACTTCGGGGTCTTGACCTTACAAATATGTAGAAATACCTTTATTAAACTAAAAATATTTTAAACCTCCTTAAAAATATTAGAAATTATTTAATCCAGCTGAAGTACTCTAATTTTTTCACGTGCATAACCACAACAACAATGTTTGCTGTCCTCCTTCAGCGACATCGACTTGGTTCCGCGCTGTGTTTTTCCTATATGTACTATATATATGGGGTATACTTCCTGCACACGCCGCATGCCGCCACCGCAAACTTGCGGCACTGAGCCCTGTTCTCACTTCCGGTTTCCGGTTCGCCTTTCGCCGTCGCCATCGCCTCGGCTAGTTCGGTTACCGTTGCCGTTAACTTGTTTTGATTTTTTAATGGCTCGCCTGACAACAGCGAGCAGAGCATTTAAGCTTTCATAACTCTTATCTTAAAGCCAGAAACTTAAACAGGTCGATTGAGTGATGAAAGTTTCACATAAAACTCTCGAGTATCCCCTCTAGTTGTGCAAAATGGTATATATATTTTTAAGAAATCCCTGGATGGGTTTTGTGCAATAAAAGGAACAACAGAATCGTGAAAGATACTCGGCATTTGACATGGTGTAGGTCTGAGTCTGGGCTTTTGTCATGCAAATTGTTCAACAAGCAAGGCGGGATGTCGTCGGTGACGTTGATTGCTCATGAAGTAAAATTAAAAGCAAACAACACAAGGATCTGTGAGTGGAGTCCCCGAATACTCTATAAATGGCTTAGGGATAAGAAGGAATCTTTAAAAAAATTATGATAGTGTGATGCTACAAGCAGTATACATATTCGATTATGTTTCTTTTGAGACGAAAGTCTAATTTTAAGGTGATTAAAAAAATATATCTTATATCTATAGGTGCGATACAACAATCGCACCTATAGAGAGACTAACAGAGAGGATAACTAATCGTATTATAAACATATACATAAAAGAATCTTTTTATACTTCAACCTATATCACGTCGTCAAGCCTTACGAACAATGTAATTCTTATGATGCGGATCAAAAATGGCTCCCTAATCCCCTGTTATTACACCTTTTTAGCCAAGTAGGGGATATTCCCCGATTTAAGGAACAACTTAACGCTACGTGGCTTACCTTCCAGGCCATTTCCCCATTACCTCCATTAACCATTTTCGTGTTGTTCGCATGCAAGTTGAGTAAAAAACAAAAGAGCTGCCAACAGGCAACAAAAGCCACCGACGAGCGGGGAAAATGGTAAAAAGAAATGCAGTTGACGTTAAAGGGGAGGCACACACAAGTCAAGTCGGAAAACTTTTGTTCTTACTGCCTCTTTTGTTGTTATTATTGTTGCTGCTGTAATTGCTGCCGAGGAGGAGGTGCCCAAGTTCAGAGTCCTGTGCAGAGTCGTCGATTTTAATTACGTATGCAATTTATTTATTACCTTTGGCCGGAAATATTGTGCAATTGTGTTGCTCTTGCTCGGCACAGGATGTGGCACAAAAAGCCCGAGCAGGAAAAAGGGGGCGTGGCAGGGCAGCAAAGATTTAACATGCGGTTATGAAGTTACTTTTCATTTTCTCAATTGCGTGCTGTCAGAAAATCCAGAGCAGGCATAAAGTGCTTCAAGTCAGAAGAACAACTTATTGGGTACTTAAGGCGGTGGGACTTAAACTTGAGATTTCCAGGTATCTTTGGGAGCTATAAAAAAAGACAAAATGCCAATATTCTCAGGAAAAATTTGTAATTAATATATATTTTTAGTAATAACACATTTTTTTAATATTAAGTATTTATAAGCATTCAAAAAACCAACGAATATATTTTGCAATTCTTCTTAAAAATCAGTTCTTATATCCGGACTCCACTTCTAATAACCCATATTATGTATGATAAATGGTTTGGCTAAATGTGAATTATGGGAGCCCAGTGGAAAAAGCAAGACTCCTGGTTTCAAGCCCAAGCAAAACCACCTATAAATTAGATTAGAAAAAATCCTGGGCGAAAGAACCGTGACCATAAGCATGGCGTGTGTCCAATAAATTAGCGTTTTCATTAGGAAAAACAAGCGAAATTTGTTCACAATGTTGTCCGTTCCTTGGTCACAAGGACAAACACACTCGTAGGGCTCGAACCAGTTCCAAATTGGTTGCATTACTTGATTAGTGTCCGCGCAATGCTGTTATTAAAATTCAATCTAAAATTTTACTCCCAGCAGTTGAGTTCTCGTGCACTGATTGCATGTCCAATCGAATTTAACAACCTTTTTGCAGCGGGGAAATGGAAAAAGAGCAACGAGGAAATTAACGAATTTCATATTAAGTGCAAATTCCGGCCTGCGACTCGTGTCATGCGATTGTGATTTGAAGTTGCTCGAGGCCCAGAGTCGTTAGGCTTTTCCCTCCGCTCTAATGCCATTTGCATGTTGATCACGTGACCATAGGCGGGATATCATAAAAATCCCTATAATAGAGCGTTACTGTAAAATAAAATCACTCTAGGACTTATTTGGGATTTTATTTATAATTTAGGTAGTCATAATATAGATGAAACTTTATTTTAACCACAGGTATTTTTAGCTAGCTGTTAATCTTCCCACTCTTTCTCCACGTATCTGTTTATCATTATTAAGCACAAGAAATGTACAGCTTTAACAAAAAAGGACAAAATTAAAATCATAATAATTAGGGTCAACAAGCTTACCTATGGGATAAACAAGAATCCAATACCCAATTGGATATACATAACTGAGGACTTTTCCCGCATGGAGCATTTTCCTGTTTTCCTATTCAAATTAAATATTAGTAGACAATATTTTAGTTTTTAATAAAATGTTTACCTTTTTAACGCCAAAAATCAATACTACCCCAGAGATTACCATTAATACTGCGGAGAGTCCCAAAAATATTACCCATATAAGCATGGATAGAAAAGAGAAAGAACGATATTTCCTATGGTCAATTTCTAGGTTTATAAAAATAAATAAGATATTTTGCAAATACCATGGCTTGACATTTATATTTTTTTAATGACTTACCAAATTCATATTGCTGATAAACCGAGAAGACCATAAAAATGGCTAAAAGAAAGCCCCATACTATGAGCCACCAAGCATAAAAATAAATCACCTTTCTATCGGTACTGACTTCGGTTTCCGGTATACAATCACAACTAAGCCTTTGTTCTTCCGGTAAACAATCACAACTAAACATTTGTGCGATTTGTATTAAAAACAAATTTAATTTGATAATTTACGTAAATTTGAGCCGTGTGGAAAATTTAGCAAAACATTCATAGTGAACTGGGTCCAAAAAAATATTTCGTCTGGAAAAGCTATAAAATTGACCTAAACAGGTACATTAAATATGTTTTTATCAATTGATTTTCCGTTGTTTTTCATATGGCATATTAAACTGACCACATTTAGAATGACTAAAATTACTGACCATTCCTTAAAAAAAATTTAGATTTTATTTTCTGCATATGGATCAAGTAGGCGCAGGTTTTCTTATCCTTCAAAAAGTGACAGCACCTCATTGTAAAATAAAATTGAACAGAGCAAGAGCCGGTTAGAGAGAGACCCAAGGTGCGTCGATTATTAATAAGTAAAACTCAGTTCTGTAGGAAACCCGATAATAATCCGCAGATAACCAGCTAGAGGGAAAAAGCAATAAAACCATTCAAGATGTCAGATCGCAAGGCGGTAATCAAGAATGCGGACATGAGCGAGGAGATGCAGCAGGATGCAGTCGACTGTGCCACCCAGGCGCTGGAGAAGTACAACATTGAGAAGGACATTGCCGCCTATATCAAGAAGGAGTTCGACAAGAAGTACAATCCCACCTGGCACTGCATCGTCGGTCGCAATTTCGGATCGTATGTGACCCACGAGACGCGCCACTTCATATACTTCTACCTGGGCCAAGTGGCCATTCTGCTCTTCAAGAGCGGCTAAGTGCCCCGGAACCACTATATCAAATGGCGCCCATCGTTGTTCACAGGAGGAGCATGCCGAAAGAAAACCATTTCATTGAATTGTAATCTCATCCGACGGTTAGAGAACTTATCGTTAATATTTTTTGCCCAAATTCGAAAAGCCTTGCCAGTGCTGACTCATTTAAACATTAAATAAATTTAATGCTTGCTTATTTTCAATGTTATTTATAAAAGGTGTACGTTTTATGGCTTTAAAGTGTTGCTATATTCCCAAACTTTCAACCCACATTTCACCTTGCATTTTCTTTGCTGATTCAGCTGGACCTGGACACATCAGATAATGCTTTTTGGGTTAATTCCTGCATTCATAATGTCCTTCGAGTTCATCAGCAGGCAAACAATGGTAGCACGATTTTCCCAGGGAAATGGAAAATTCGGGCTGCCGATGCTGCTGCACCTGCCTCACCTGGCTGTGGGCAAATAAAAATTGCTTAATTAAGTTAATTAAAATATTGTCGCTGTCCGTTGTGCTTCCATGTGCTGGCGGCGGTGGCATTTATGCGTTTTTATTATCACAGCGATTGGCCAATTTCGGACAGGACATCGCCGGGGTAATTATGCCAGCTCACGTCCAGGGCCGCAATAATAATCATAAAAATAATATTAATAAAGTTCGCAACGGGTGCGAATATATATTTTGCGAAATACTTTTACACTTGGCCGCTGGCAGGCGCAACATATGAAAAAGTTTTTTTTTTCATTTTTGCCAAGTGGGTGTTTATAGTTGGTTTGAGCCGCTTTCACAGTTCGACGACTTTTGGCCTTGTCCCCCCGATTTTCCACCAGCTGGCGCTCGATTTTCTGTTTTCCGAACTTCTGCATCCGCATTTCGATGGGGATCGGTCAGTCAGACAGACTCTCATGCATATTTCATGGCTGGGTTAAATACGACAACGGGATACAAAAACACCGGGCCCAAATGTAATGGCACACTTGAAGGCCAAGGCTTGTCGTAAAAATGTAAGTGCCACGCAATCAGTTTTACGCTCTCGCAGACAAAGCCCTTATTAATATTTTTACCTTTCTGTAATGCAAACATATATTTTTTATGCATTTCGGTATTAAAAAATAAGCTTCAACCAATTTCTGGGCTTCCCTTAAATGTTTCTGCCCATCTTGCGACTTCCTGCACATCCTTTTCCCTCTTATTTTATTATTGAAGTGAGGTTTGAACTCTGCCCAGCTGCTTCTCTGTTTTCCTGCTGGCCCTCTGCTTTTACTGGGCTGAATGAGTGATGGTATTTTACTCCAAGATGAGTTGAGTCTGCGCATTGGAAAAAAGAGAATCTGTGGGATTTTTGAACTAACGAGAAGATAGATGGCGCTGGTAAAGTGTAGGAGTTCTCGCTAATTCTGCGGATGCTTTAAAAAATGTTTTTAAAATATATTGAAAACTAATTACATAAATCAATGTGATTAAAAATTTTGTTTTCTAATGAAATCTTAATAATTTATTAAGCTTTTTTGAATGTATATTTAGCTATACAGAAATATACCAATAAAATATTTATTAAATTACATATTTTAAAATATACAATTTTATATGTAAGGATTACTGCTAATTGGTTAGTTATATGTTGGAACTAACAATATTAGTATCAAATGTATGAGCTAAAACCAAAATGGTATTTAGATAAATATTTAAAAAAATTTAAATTAGTTTATAAACTACATTATGAAGCTACCCTTTTCATTTACATTAATTTTTTGCGATGATACAGGAAATCTGCTAGTTCCTTTTTTTTGCCAACTCACCGCTTTGTTTTGATCCCACATAATTCCAATTTAATATCCCAGAGTCCCATTCGCCCTCCACGGCCAACATCAAGTGACTACAAATGAGCAAATCTCTTGACCTTTTTTTGCGCCCCTAGCCGGGTGGAAAAAAATGAACAAAACTTTTATAAATTACTGTCAGTAGCAGTGACCTCAATATAAAATTGCACAACATAACTTGAACACACAGCGATGCACACAGACAGTGGAACAATTGCGAGTGCAATGGATACGAGTGTAATTGCATTTTACTTGGACGCCGAGCTAGAAAAACCATACGAAAACCAAACGAAATGAAACCAAACCAGAACGACCACAGAAAACATACGCACATGGATATGTAAACTTTTTGTGACCTCAGCAGCTATAATTATTTCCGTTTTTTGCCGCTGCCCAGGCACACGAATGTATATTCATATATGAGCCGGCAAAAGGGGTCAGTCCAAAGTCAACATTAGTTTTATCACAGCTCGGGAGTCGAGAGGAGCGAACATTCTCGACAATGACAAAAAATCCTAATGAAACACAAAGAAGACATGAGGCGTAGGGACCAGAACCCTACTCACAGCAAACAGGCAGTAAAAACCGCACTGTATAAAAAGTCACAGCAAATTTTCATTAAACAAAAATAAATGTTCCAAAATTGTACCGAAAATTAAAATGGCAAAGTTACTTTCCAGCTCGGCAGCGAACTGGCTTTACTCTGTAAAATAGGTTATAAAAATATATAGCATTTTTATGAAATTCATTAATTAAATTGTTTATTAATAACATTCCAATATTTTAATAACCTACGACATATGAAAATTTCTTAGGCTTGGTCAGTGAATTTCCATAAGCCCATTTCGCTGGATAATCGCCCACATAAAGCCAAATAATCTCAGGCAAGGGGAAAACTGAAACAAAAGACGAAGAGCTGGGATTGCTGTTGCGAAATGGCGGAAGTTGCATACTCCTTTGGAGTTTTTACTCCTTTTTTCGGGGTAGTGTGATGAATGAGGCTGCAAGGACTTGCAAGGACACATGGAGAAGTCACCCACTTGGGAGTCGATTTTTCATTTGGCTTACGTATCATCAACCCGAGCTTGTCTCGTGTCGTTTCCCCTCTTTTCTTTTTGGCCAGTATCTCTGCCTGACCAATTCCATTGTCGTCAACGAGACTGCTTCCACTATCTTGCCACTTTTTCCTTCCCTTACCACTTCTAAGCTCATTTCTGGGCTTGAAACCGGATTTTGGTGTCCATCTGAAACTTCTTTGTTACCATTTGTCGCTTTAAGGCTTTACTTGGTTTTTTTGATATTTTAGTAATTGTCAGGATAAGTTCCTATAGATATAAGACAGTTTATACAGACTTCTTTTAAAAAAAATTAAACGTTATTAATAATTTTATCTCTATTGTAAATATATAGACGCTGAAAAAGAACCTTATTTAAAGGCTTAAAATTTATAAAAAATATATTTTTAAGTACCGGGTATCCTATAGTCCAAAAGCTCTATGGCTTCCGTATTTATCGAGCTCTCATTGTCTCCTCTTTAGATCTCCCAGTGCTTTTGTGGGTTTTATTTTCGTTATTGTTGCCTGTGATAAATTGTGCGCTTTTCGTTTTGACAGATGTCAGCGTTTGTCTGCCCAATGCGAGGCAGAAAATCTTTTGCGTTTGTCTAGGCTGTTCTGAAAATCCTCAGAGGTTATCGTCCCTTTTTTCAGTTTAATTTTCAAATGTTTTTTTTCATATTAAATTTTTTTTTTTAACCTTTAACCTCAGCCTGATCTTTGACTTGCGTATAGTTTTTGTAACATTTCAGTCATGTGTGTTTTTGCAGACGACTTGTTGACATTTTCAGGCCTGTCACTGGACTCTGAAGTCCTGCGTCTGAGATCCCGAACCTGTGCCCTGTCAGTCTGCAGGTTCTGAGTACTGGAGTCCTGAAGTCCTGGACTACTGTTTCCTGCATAACGTGTCCCATGTCCTGGCTCCGTGTTCTCGTGTCCGTGTCAGGCGTCACTATGCCCCTGACAGCGGCAACAATTTTATTTACTTAATTTGGCTTTAGTTTGTCATTTATTTACTTGTTTGCCGCAACAGCACAACAGTTGGTCAAAGTGTCCACCTCACGGGTCCCACCTCTCAGGCCCACCTCCTCCGATTCCGGGGCCATATCTCTAGTCCTCGGAACGATCTGGCCGGAGTTCTGTTGTTGTCACTTTGACGCTGACGTTGATGTTGTTGCTAAGGTCTCTGATGTAGCTGTTTTGGTTTTATTTCAGTTTGATAGGGTATAGTGGAATCGGGATCAACCTGGCTTGACTACGAAATTAAAATCTAAATAAATATTTATTGCAGACAATAAAAATTATCCAAAAGAAGTGCAGGCTAGCAGCTATGTTGGCATAAACACATTTGTATAGCTTTAGGGGATAAATATTGCTGACATGGATAATTATTCAAAGCCTTCTATTTATATGCCATTAGTGAAGCTATTCTCAAAATGTATCTGTTATCTTTGATAATTATTTATTAGATGTTTTCATACCCTCACAAACTGCCACTAGTTCTCTGAGCTATACCCTTTTTTCAATATTTCGTGGGTTGATATATTGGTTATATCCTATAAAAATTTTATAAATTATGTTAAAATAATTTAAAAAATAATCAAAAATTCTATTAACATTTATATTTTTTTTTAAATAATCCCCTTTGTTTATCCTTATCAAGAGTATCCTCCATTCGCCTTTAGCTTCCTTCAGAGACCCGCATTTGGTTTTATTTGTAACACGGTGACACATTTTGCTGCCCGCACTTTATTGCATATCGTTGTCGGCTGTTGTCGGAACGTGGCATTGAATTTTTTATGAAAATTTAGAGCAAAGTTGCTTTTTTCTTTGTTTGCCTGCCGTTGAAGCTTTTGCTGCTGTTGCACTTTGGTACCTTAATTAAATATTTATTTCAATCATTTTCGGCAAATGGATGGACACCATGGGCAGAGGTACGAAAATCCATTCATTGCCGAAGTGAGACCTCCAGATAAAGGGGGCGGGGTAGCTGAAGGCCGAGGGGCGTGGCATTTGGGGGGCACTAACATTTGTCATTACACATTAATAGCGCACCATTAATCTTTTTCGTGAGCCGAGAGCGTGGGGCTCAGAATGAATGCCATTCCGGGGTCTGGACCTGAATCTGAACCTGGATCTGGACCCGAGTCGTCTGTCGCACAAAACCGTTAATTAATGTATGCCATTTAGCTGGAAAATTGCAAAAGGGACACACACTCACGTACACAAATTGGTTTAAGGCTCAGAGATGGTAGCGTGATTTAAGAATTTCGGAACCAATAAAAAATAGTTCTAAAAATGTAAAATATATATCTATTAAAAATTAAAACAATATTATTTTTTGTTGGGTATTTTTTATTAAGTAAAATATTTATTACTCTCTGTTAGGTCTGAAACCAAAAATATTTCAAAAATCAAACAATTTATTGTATACTATTTTTCTGCCCTAGAGTAGAAATAATGTTGAAATTATTCTGCATGAGAAAGTTACAGTCGAAATATATCCATTACATATTTTTAAGTAGATTTATTTATTCACTAAGATACTTTTATGATAGTCTTTAATCCTGAAAATCAAAGTGTCACCACTAACGCATACGTGTTTTGTGAGCCCATCATAATGAGCGGCAATTTAGTGCCCTTTTGAATGGTGTAGCATGTGGGGTTAAGCCACTGGACGAGTGGGCGGGTGGGTGAGTGTGGGTGGCTGGGTGGTTGCGTCGTTGTCGCCACCACAAACAAGCAAAGGCAAAAGCCGCAGTGGCGGGGAAAGAGGGGTTGGGCCAGGGGATTGCCCAGCAGGTATGCTTGATTAATGCTTTATAACAAGGCTCGCACAAAGCACGCTTCGAAAGCACACCCACCACGCCCACACAAACCACTGGATGGCGGTCCACCGCCCCCAAAACGCCCAACCACCCACCTCCTGCGTCCTTGCATTTTAACATTAATTTAGCGGAATGCTGCAGAAGACTATGAAAAGCTTTTCAGCATTCGTCGACACATGTTAATCCCTGTTGTTGTAATTGCCAACGTTGGTCTACCCAAAATCCCAAAAACACTTGATGCTCTGATATAATGGGGATTTTATAAGGTTCGAACTTTGAAGGTTTCGATACTCAAAAATCAATGAGATTGAAAATTAATAACACATTAAATTTACAATTTAAATTTAAGGGATCAATAAGGAGCAATTTTTTAAAAGGACAACTTTTTAATATACTACAAAGAAATGCAGTATATACCAATTAATAGGAATTATCAAGTTCAAGCACAATTTATAAGACTGAGATTTAATTTCATTTAACGGCCTTACTTTCTATCCTTTTCATTTGTGATCCAAAAACTTTCTCTTCTTTTTTTCCAACTACCAAGTCCACATCTGAGATCCCCCGGGGCCTTTTGTTGGCTTAATTAAATTAAGACATTAAAAACTCGCAGATCTTGTTTGAGCATCACACTTTTGACGCTTGCGATTATTAGTATTTTTTCTAGACCTCGTGGCACTTTCCTTTTTATATGATTTTCTCTTAACTATTTTTTTTTGCTTTTCCAGTTTTGCTGAGCTTTTCGCCCTTGAGTGCTTCCTGTGGCGTTCGTTCATTAGGCAAAAGCGGAAGAAAAGCCAGGGGAAAAGTTACACAAAAAATAAGGCTAAAAAATGTGTCTAAAGAGTTAAAAGGTTTATTCACTTTGCGCCGTCTGTGAGGCTAAAACCGACTAGCTGGGGCTGGAGACACATTTTCCGAGTTGAGCATTAAGTAATTATAAGTTGCCCAGGAGTTGGCTGAAAGTTGCAAGTTGGCATCTGCAACTAGGCAAACATATTGCATGTCTACACCCTTGTAGACAGGCTGACTCCGGCGCACACTGCGTATGCGTAATGTGTTGAATAATTAAATTGTCAAACAATTGGCTTTTGGCAGAGAGACAAAACCGAGCAAAGATGACGACAAGAAAATGCTGAACGCAACCGGGATTTATTGTCTTGCAGTGCGAAGAATCCAGAGAATGGAAAACGCTTAATCATCTTTAATTGAAAGCACTTGATGAGCTAGTCAAATGCCAATGAACAACGAACAATGAACAATGGTAGGACTCAGACAATCGGCATTATTTATAATGCTTTTTAATCTCCAACTGAATTTGCATTTTGCCTTTTTTCTATGAGTGTGTGCTGGCAAAATCATTGGCTCGCTGATAGGATTCAATTTCCTTGTCATCATGAAAACGTTTTCAATTAAACTGTATTTATTATTCAGCAGATAAAGCAAACAATTCCCTTTTCCATTGTTAATGTTAATATTGCTAAGTCGGCTTATCGCTGTTCAAAGTTTTAGGGATCAATTTCGTTTTAAGCGAATGTGTCAAGAAGTAGGCTTCAATTAAATGAGATTTTGTTTGATTGAAATAAATATCATTTAATAAATAAAATCTTGGTTTTCATACCCCATTCCATCGAGTGTTATTCAAGTGCGAATTGCAAAAGCTTTTAGGCAGATTGCCTGGATTTGCAGTCGGTTAGTGGGGATATTTAACCGCAAATCTGTTGAGTTGTTAACTACGTTTGAATAGGAATGCAGGGAAATAATATAGATGGTTGCAAAAATAGTAAAAGGAAAGTGATTTGATTGCTTTGAGTAGTTGTGAAAGTGAATATTTATAAAATTAAAATAAAATCTTTTTAAATTTCATATTTAATCATATAGAATAAAATTGACTGACTTGTATTTAACTACAAAAATTTGGTATATTTTCCATTATGCGGCTTCCTCGCCTTCGTCTTCCTCCTCCTCGCCCACATCGGTCTCCGCATCCTCGGTAGCTTTTCTTCTAGCTGCGGAACTCCGGCGACTTACCCCAGATTTTTGGGAGCTACGACGACTTGATGTCTTGGATTTCCGACGAGGTGGCTCCGTGCAACTGTACGGTGGCATATTAAATTGCTCCGGGTCGAATTCCTCCAGGGTTTCCAGGCGCAAAGAGGCCAGCTCTGACCAGCAGCAGGGAAGTTCCTTTTCGGCCAACATTACCACTGGTAGACGAGCATCCGTGGCAGCCTGGACTCCCTTGGGCGTTCCATCGAAAACCAGGGTGCAATCGGGTCCAGCATCTCCCAGCCGAGACATGGCAATCAGATAGATATCCGGTTCCGGTTTCGGGGCCCTTAAATCTGCATCATCTGCACAGATCACCGAAGAGAAGTTATCGAAAAAATCCTCCCGATCACGAATCTTGGTGCAATACATCGATTCCGGGCACGAGGTGACCAATCCCAGTCCCATACAACATTTGCGCAAATGGGTGACCAATCGCTGAACTCCCGGCATCAGGGTGGGATTGGCGATCAGATCGGAAGTGCGTTCATTCAGCTGAAAGCGAAAAGACTCCCAGCTCACGGGAAGATCGCACTTTCGGCAAATCAACTCCGCCATCTCAGCCGTTTCCATGGGTCCACATTGGATCAGAACGAGTTCGGGTATTGTTCTATTATAACTCGAGACCAGCTCAACCAGAGCTCTCTGATAGACGTGACGGGTGTCTGGATGAGAAGACTGGGCTTACATAAATCTAAAAAAAAGAGGTTCTTGAAAATCTTACCGAAAACAGCACTCTCCAGATCGAAGATGCAGTAGCTAATCCCCGGACTGCAGCACATAGGTGGACAACTTGAACATTGTGGTGGAGCTTTGCAAACCTTACAGCAAGGAGTGCACATTTTAGGGCTGGACCACAAGGTTTATCAAAAAGTTTCAAATTTTTAACGTTGTATACTACGAATTTTGGCCTAACACTGACGTTTATCGCATTGAAAACATCTTGGTGAAGAAACGTAAATGTAAGGAACCCCCCTTATAAGGAGTAAAATAATAATTGTTATAAAATTAATTAATATTAAATAACACATTTAAATAAAAACAACTTTGCTTACTTATTCGTCTTATATTTAACACATGAGAATTTAATTGTTTTCAGTGTTATCTGAACAAATGAGGGGCTTATTCTCTTAAATTTAAAATCGATGGATCTGCGAGTACTGGTGGTTCCTCCGGTGGTTCCGGTTCCTCCTCCTCCGCCTCCTCTTCCTCGGCAGCGGCTTCGGCGGCTCTTCTGCGGATTACGGTCAACCTCTGACTGTATCTCGTGCGACGGCGACTCGATCGCCTTTTGGGTTCGGGATCCGTAAAGGGTGGCAAATTGAACATCTCTGGTTCGAAATCATCCAGATATTCGAAGCGCAGGGCTGCCAACTCAGACCAACAGCAGGGGAGATCCTTTTCAGCCAACATAATGACCGGAAGTCGGGCATCACTTGCGGCCTGAACTCCCTGGGTGGTTCCATCAAAAACGAGGGTACAATCGGGTCCAGCATCGCCCAACCTTGACATGGCAATGAGGTAGACATCCGGTTCCGGTTTAAAAGCCCTTTACTCCGGATCATCGGCACATACTATGGTCGAAAAGTTCTCGAAGAACTCCTCCCGACCACGGATCTTGGAGCAGTAGTTGGCCTCCGAACAGGAGGTGACCAAGCCCAGTTCCATGCAACAGCCACGCAAATGCCTCACCAATCGCTCCACACCATCCATAAAGGGGGGATTCGCGATCAACTGGGCGGTCCTCTCGTTAAGATCATACCGAAACGATTCCCAACTCATGGGAATGTCGAGCTTTCGGCAGAACAGTTCTGACATTTCAGATATGGTCATTGGCCCACTTTGGACATGTAAAATGTCTGGTATCCTCTTGTCGTAACTACGAACCAGATCCTTCAGAGCCTTCCGGTAGATGTGACGGGTATCTGTGAAGAAAAGAGAAGATTAAATTAAACTATATATTATTTTTGAGGTAACCCCACCAAAGACAGCACTCTCCAAATCAAATATGCAGTAGCTAATACCCGGACTGCAGCACATTGGCGAACAACCAGCACATTCTGCTGGAGTCTTACAGCGAGGACTGCACATCTTACTTCAGGACCAGAAGGACTCTGAGGCTGGAGGATAAGACTGAAATTCCTAAAAATTTATGTACACATTCTCCGAATCCAGGCCAAGCAATGAGATTTTGACATTTAAAACTTTCTATACGATAAAATGTTGATCCATTCTAGGAGTTAGAAGTCTTTACAATCATCATAATATCACTTTAGATTTCGAAACATATGAAGGTCTTTTTATTTTACTTATAATAATTATATTTTTCTGAAAAAATTACTTAAATATGGTTTAAGAATGTTAGATGTAATATATAGTATTAAGTGTAATTGGTTTCCATGCTTATACATCTTTTTAAAATTATAGAGTTTATTGATTGTTCTTTAAGTTCCTGACAAAACACGTTTATATCAACACTCTACAAAGGTGGTAGTCCAAAGTATTGTGGCCTGAAGCCCTCCAAAGATCGCAGTCTTAAAGTCGCCGGAGCACTTGCTCGAATGGAGACCAGAGGATCGGGAACGAGAACCACTTGCATTCCAGCGGCCAGAGCAGCCTCCATTCCCACTAGTGAAGACTCGAAAACCAGACATTTGCTGGGGTCCGGAGAATCCTTAAATCTCGAGGCGGTGGTGAGGAAAATGTCTGGAGCGGGTTTTCCCTCCTTGACCTCGTCGTCCGAACCACTCAAGACCACATGATGGAAGACATCGAAGAGCCTGGAATGGCGTCGTGTCTTTATCCTATACGAATCCCGACAGCTGCCACTTCCAATTGCCATCGGGACATTAAACTCATTCAGATGATTGAGAAGACGCTCCACTCCAGGCATCAGTCGAATAAAACCCAATTTACTGCGACATTGTTGTTCTTGCTGGTTCTCAAACTCAGTAAGACTAAAGGGCAGATTGAAGGTGTTTAAGATAAGGGAGGCCTGTTCGGAGTCCGGTTTTCCCAAGCACCTCATCTTGAGATCGAAGCTATACGTATGACCATAAGGATCCAGAATTTTCTGAACCGATTCAGCTCTCAGTCGTTCACTATCTATCAGAAGGCCATCCAATTCGAAAATGCAATGGGTAACATGCTGAAAAGAACAACGCCTCAATCCCATTTTGGTACCCACACCTTCCTCTGACATTATGATACTCTATAATTTTGATTTATTTTGTATTTTATAGATAAAATATAGTGTAACAATTTTGAAAGATAAATTTAGAGTGCTTAGGAGTTAGCCAAATTCAAATTTTGAGCAGTTTCCAAAGGCTGGTAGGCCAAAAAGCTCGGGTTTAAAGTCCGCCATGGACTTGAGTACCATAGTGGCTCCCTTTTTCTGCTGCTTATTTACATGTTCAGGTGGTATAAATACCACTTGACTGCCAGCTGCTATTCCACCTCTCATACCAAGTGGGGCGTCCTCGAAAATGAGACACTTTTTGGGATCCGCAGGTGGATTGAACCTCGAGGCGGCTAGGAGAAATATATCCGGATTGGGCTTGCCTCTGCCCGGCCCGATTTCCGGATCATCGCCACAGACAACGTGATGAAAGGCCAGAAATATATCACTGAATGACCTCGCCTTCAACTGGAATATTCTCTTAAACGAACTCGTTGCTATGCAGAAGGGTATGCGATATTCGTGCAAATGGAGAACCAGATCCCGTACCCCTGGCAACAGGGAAACATTTCCCATATACTTCTCAGAAGTTGATTCGAATTGCTCTTGGAACTTCTCAGGTGTAACTGGCAGATTTAACTCCTTCACGATGTGTTGAGAAAAAGTATTTGCCGGCATTCCCATATGAAGGGCCTGATCGTCCTTGGTGTAAGATTTGCCATATGGAGCTAGTAGTTCTTGAACAGTTTTTAGATATATGACTTCACTATCTAAAAAGGGGAATAAGATACAAAGAATAAGAATGGCTTGATTGAAGTTTCCGAAATGGTAGGAAATAATGAATGAGTAAAAAATAAATACCTATCAATGTTCCATCGCAATCAAAGATGACATGAGTGACTGGACAGTAGCATTTCTTCGGAGTCATTTTTAAGGTGGTCTATTTAGTGGTTTTTTGTTCAGCTTATTTTTCTGGAAACATGCTCTTTAATTTAGATGATTAATTTTGGCCAAAAATTAAAAATTTATTAGTTAGAAATCAAAAAAAAAGATGGTTATTTTACTAAAAAGATTTTCAAGAAGTTTTGATAGAAATGGAAAAGGGTGTCATGATAGAAATAATATTTCGAAATAAAAAATCTTAAAAGAACTTCTTAAGATTCTCATTTTATTTAATTCGAAAATTTCAACTTGTATTTTAGGATTTTGTATAAATTTAGAAATCTTAAAAGTTGCATTTTCGTATTCCTGGTATCTCAGATTTGCGTTTGAGGGTTCGTGCCAAACTGTCATTTTCCTGGCACCTTTTGGGGATAGTTGCACTTTCATATATTTAACCAAGTCTAATGCATGCGGCGCACGCTTTTTGGCCAAGACCCCGCTGCCATTCGCATGTTGTTACAAAGTTGCGTAATTGATTAAGCAGTTGGCAGCCAAACCTCAAGAGACGTTTTCAGCAACGCGTCGCCGAAACTTTGGCTTTGGCCAATACGTGCCACAAATTTTGGGGGAGTACGGTGGGTGTGGGCGTGGCCGATTGTGGGTGGTGCCTGCAGCATGTGGCAGGAAACTTTCTGCGGTGGGATGAGTGGGTGGTGGGTCAAAGGTGAATGCGTCGCGATGCTTGATTTGGGTGCGCGCTTAATAGCCAAGCGCACCTGGGCTGTATAAAACGAGTTAACGAAAATGTTTGCGCTTTCTGATGACTTTGGGGGAGAGTTGACAATGGAGATTTGCGTTATTCGATATGTTTTGAAATGCGGTTAGATCTAGCAATTAAGCTTTTGTTAAAAATGCATAAGTATTGAAAAAACAATGGTCATAAACAAAGGAAAATGATTTTTTTCCTTATAAGAATTCAGTATCCTTTTTTATTTCTACTTAATTTTCTGTAAGCATTTTAGTCTTAAGACCATTTTAATTGCCCCTCAATAATAAAAAGCACTGAATTCTTTGGAAAACCACACCATTCCGAATCCTCATCCACCTAGCTCGATTGTCCAACCAACGAAGTGGGCAATTTTATTACCTTTTATTGGCAACGTTGCCTCAGTTGCAGTCAAAACCATTGACCGTAACGCATTAATGTCCTGTGGCCGCCAAAATCGAACCAGAAGTTGGTTCGATGGCTGAATGGCTAACTGGTTCGCTGAGCTTGCATATTTTATGACCAAGTCCAACTTTAATTGGAACAATACCAATAAATGCCAAATGCAGATGGCCCGCAGGGAGAGAGAGCCAAAAAGTTTGATGTGCATTGACCGGGATATCGAAGGACCCGGACTCAGATCCGAACCGACCAAAACCAAATGGCAGTCCGCAACGGTGGAAATCAGCTCAAGGGTACAAATTCACACAAAGCCACAAGGACCACAAGGATAACAACGGCTTTTGGCCGACGTCGCTGCAAGTTTGCGGTTTTTGGGGACTGAAATGCAGGCAGGCAGGCAGGACAGACAACCAGACCGGTTAACAATTCAATGAACGCAATTACAGCACCCAGATTTCAGCTGAAGTACACCGTTGCCACGACAGCGATTAGAGACGCGTTCAAATTAAACGTTTACAACATATTGTTGCTGGTCAGCGAAGTGGGAATTCCCCTTGCCAAGCGCGAAAAAAGAACAAATAAATTCGTTAATCTAGAGGGTAGAGACCAGAAGCTACTCCGTACAGTAAAATACCATTGACAACGAGAATATTGGCTAAATTTTAACAATAATAACCATTCGGACATTTTTAAAAATTACTACATTTAAAGTGGAAAATGAAAGGACCTTTAAACACTTTCTAAAGGCACTACTTTCCCTCGTACCGTGCAAAAAAAGAGTAAAACACCATAAATGGGCTCCCAAAATGGCTGGCTGCATAATTTATGCACACAATTCGTCGCTGCATTCGAATGTCCTGTCCTGAAGTCCTGTTCTCATTTGGTTGCCACAACAGCTGACGCACAGCGTCCGGAAAATTGTCCGTCCCTCGGGCTAACCGTCGATTAATTAAAAGGCATTTTATTGACTGGGAGGAGGGAGGATGCTTAAATGGGCGATGTGTGTGTGGAATGGGCCACTTTTATCGCCAGTACCTTGCTGACAGCAAATTGCTTTAGCTGATTTGGCATTTTCCATTGAGTCGATGAGAAATGAAATGCGATTGAGTCAGCTTGGCTGCTGGGGAAGGTGCTAAGAGGTGTCAGAACAAAGTAAAGTCAGTTTCAGGAAAATTTTAATGGATAAAACACAGTGTCTGAAGTGAATATCGTAAAACGTAAGGCCATAAAATTGTTACATAGGTGCCATTCGAGTTCTTAAAGTACGATGTAGGGATATCGTAAAAAAAATATTTCTCTAAGTTCCTAAAAGAAAATCTTTGAAATTTTAAGATCCCTAAAAAACCCCTCCATCAGAAACCCAAAACACGGATGGTCCCAGTTCAAGCCCTTGGGCCACCGCAAAGGAATACCAAATTGAATAAATAGTATACGATATAATCTCTAAAGAGTAACCCAATAGCCGGCGGGCAAGCCACAAAAACTGCACCATCCTTTGGCACTCAATAAATGTTATCCATCTATGTGCAGAGCGGCTCAAATGTCAGTCACATATTCCTTCAATCATCACGACGCCCTCCAGAGCGATTTCCCCAAGGATCTCCAGTGCAACAATGTCGGGAAAGGGCCAATGGGATGGGTATAAAACATGGGCACAAAGTCCAATTTGTTTGTAATGGCATTACTTTGTTTACAAAACAAAATTTGTATGCATAGCGAGTAGTCCTCGTTGGGGGGGGAGGCATAGAGGTGAGTTGGCTGGGAACTCCTATCCCGATTCCTATTCCTATTCCAATCCCTGGACCCTTGCAACAAACGCTGCAAAACCCAACTCGAAGTGCCGCGGGTGCTGTCGCAGTCTAGGAAAGCTTGAAAACAAAAATACACAGGCGGGCAAATAAAATATAGACATAGATATATATACATTGTATATATTTGTACAGCTTCTAAAAATCGTTGTACCATAAAATTTCCCCAATGGACGCTCAGAGTTTTCGGTTTTGCCAGGACTCTCTGTGCTGCCTTTTCGCTGTTTAATTTTACAATTGTCCTTTTTCTTTATTCCTGCCCAGGGAACGAGATGAGTGGGTGGCTGGGGTCAGGTTTATCTATGCGCATCCGTTCCAAGTGCGGTTTTGTGATTTATGCCCGTTTCTGTGGGCCAACATTTGTTTTGCTCACCAAGGCCGAGCAAATAAAGGGGAGAAACTAGACCAATATGGGGTTCATATGTATATTCATTGTAATACATTTGTTTTTAAAACAAATAAGTCAGCTTCTGATATTGTTTAACAGAGAATAAAACGAAAAACTATAATCCACTTATGAATGGTAATCAAGGCATTACTGTGAAACTTTTTACATTTTACTTATTTACATTTCAATACAAATTGAATAATATTCAAGTATCTGGAGGACAGGACTCCTGGTGAACTTTACTCATATCGCTTATCATAAGACCAGCCCTATTTGCATAGTACTGAGCCATATAGATAACTTGCGCACTGGGTAAACGTTTACGGGTCTGGATGACTGCCCAATCTAAAAGATACATTAAATCCATTTAATATAATACTAATTGAAATATATGTTATACAACTCACGAAAGCTGAAAATGTGACTCGAATCAAAGCACATAAAGCGTATGGCAAAGTTGGTATAATCAGTATCCAATACATAAAGCAGAACTCCTTCAGGAAATGCTGTAGAAAATATTTATTTTACATAATACTTAGTTGCTGTTGCCAATTCAGTTACCTGGATTTTTGGTGCCCAAAACATACCTTCCGTATTTTGGCTCTACTTTTAAAATGGGTGCTTTTCTGAACCTCACTGTGCCGGTCCTATAGGAAGGTATTTTATTATAATTTTTAAGAAATAAATGCAATCCACTTACTGGCCGCTCAGTTCACGGGCCTTAACTATAAAATGATGTCCGGCCTTTTCTACGAATTCCGTCGACTGACACTTTGGCACTTTCAAGGAGAGAGGTGGGTATAATGAGTGGGTGTACCACTTTCCTTTAAAGCGTTCCATATCCAAATCAGCAACCGCCGTCATATTGTCAGGACAGTGTCCATGAAATGCTCTAATGGCCCATGATAATTTAAAATCAAGAAAGGCTAGGATTCTAAAGAATTAAAGGGGTTACTAGAGATTAATTCAGCTTTAGAAAAGGTACTCACACGAAAAACTTCCACTTGATCATGCTAAAAAGGTTGAAGTATAAATGAGAAAAATATAATTTGGTCTGGCTTATTTAAATCTAATGGAAATGGTTTAAAAAACTAATCAAGATTTTACGGTTCAATTCGATGTGTGGAAAAGAAAGTGTAACATCATTACACCTAAAAAATAATATTGGAAAAAAATATATAAAACTAAACACGTTATAGTATAGTAATTTTTGGTTTTATTCTTTGCAATAACATATATTTTTAATTGATACATTAAAGAACATTAACAACATTTCAATAAATGTACAATTGAATAACAAAATATTTAGTAACTTAAAAAGTTCATTTATAAGCGTCAAAACAATTTTCATGTTTTTAGATGACATTTGGCACCAGAGTGGTTACCAAGTCAGCCACATTAAGGCATCGTTTGCGATAATCCAGAACGATTTCCCTACAATTGGGGGCAGTTCTGTTGGACCGTAGTGCTGAGGTATTCCTGGGATACCTTATTATCAACCAAGATCTGCTTGGCCACATCAATTATCTCCGAAGAAGGTTCACGCTCACGAGTTAGGATCCAAACGAATTCTGGAAATGAAAAATAAATTATCAGTATCAATTGTGTTACCAAGTTTAGAGATTTCCTCATTAACTTACTGATGTTTGCGAAGGATGTTACACTGGTGCAGCTATAGACAACGGCATATGATTTATAGTCGGTGCCCAATACCAAGTAGTTGGCCTTCTCTAGGGACTCTAAGATTTATTATGTAAATAAAAGATATTAGTACGAATGACCACTTAAAGTTTATAGTTACTTACGGCCTTCGTAAAAAGCCACTGCCAACTGACCAGGTCCAAGAACCTTAGCAGTTGCAGATGCGTTGGTTGGTTGACCACTGCTGTTGTGGGATATAAATATAGATCGTTGTTTAAATGTAATTTTTTTCGTACTCACAATCCACTGATACCGCCATTTACCACGGAAACAGTGCTACTGTCAACGATACTGTAGTTCGCATAGACGCATTCCTGTCCGAGCTCAAAAGTATTTGGGTAAGCGGAGTACTCGTACCAGATGCCCATGTACTGAAAACAAATTTTGTATTTTTAAATCTATAACTTTCAATTCAAAAATAACTATATTATATGTATAAGATAAAAATAGTTACTTACACACTTTTAATAATTTTTTTTTAATAATAATAAATACATATGTATGCCTATCTTATCAACATTTTTTAATTTATATTATCATCGTTACTGAGCAACTGGAAAATTTGGATACTTTAGAGCCTATAATGGAATTTTTTAGGATAAGATTAGAAAGTATTGGCTTGGTAAAAAAATAACTGAATTTATTAGATACGAATATGTACTTACTCAACTGTAACATAACAATGATAATAAATTGTGTATGCCAATCTTATCAACATTGTTTATTTTGTACTATGATAACCCTAAATCAAAACTAATTTCATTTTTGAAGAACTATGATTTTTCAAATTGTTATGACCCTTGAATAGTAATTTCCAGAAAATGATCTTAGTTCAACTTATATAAAATATCTAATCGCTAAACGATACATTTTTTAAATTTTTAATTTTTTTAATTTTATTGACTGATTTTAAGTAGAACAAGACTAACAAAATCTGCCAATTAGAAAATAGTTGGATTTATTAGATACACAAATTGATATAAACATCTCTAAAAAAACTAGTATTAAATGAAAATAAGTCGAATATGCTTATATTAACAACATTCTTTATTTCCTGTTATAATCGTTACTGATCAACTTTAAAATCAAATTAATTATTTAAAAAAAAAATCGTGATTTTTCAGACTAGTATTATTTTACAATTATTTATTATTTTTACAACTAGTTTAAAAAAAGTAGAAAGTTGTATTACAAAATGTTAAAATGACTGCCTTTTTGCGGTTTAAAATGTATATAACATCTAAAAACGTAAGATTTATATATATTCAAAATATATTTTCTATTAATTGCCGGGATCAATTACAGTTGAACGATTAAGCAGATTGTTAATGGGTATATCGTTTAGGGTAAACACTCACCGCTTCCGCATCGAAAGTTTCCAGTAGCTTGACTTCAGGGCACTTGCCGGGGAAGGGAACTTGAGCATTTCCCAGACAAACTCCACTAACGACAATCAAGGCAAGCAGCCACAAGTTCGAACTGTAAGAAAAATAAAGTTAGATGTCAATAGCCCTAGAGTCCAAAATAATGAGGGCTATGTACTTCGACCGGTGATTCATTGTAGAAAGTATATTATCTCTCTCCACTGAACTTAGTTATTGTTTAGCTTCTGGCTTAGAACTGAGGTTCGAGAGCAACATTGTCACTTTTATAGGCGAGTTGAGAGAGCTTTGTTTTGATGACCGAGCTTTTTTTCGAGTGCGCCGACGCAAAGTAGTGTAATCAATCGAAAAACGCAGACGATCTGGATTAAAGTTCGGTATGTGTTTAGATTAAACAAGGGAGACCCCTTCAAATATACGTCTGCCAGTGTTTCCACACTATTAATTATTAGCAAATATTATTATTATCAATAAATGTCAATAAAATAATGTGAAACTAAATAATCTTATAGCTCGATCGATTTGCTTTGTTTTTATTCCTCGCAATAACAACTATTTATAATTGATGTATTAAAGAACATTAAGCTGTCGATATTTGTACACTTAAATAACAGAACATTTAGTAACTTAAGAAGTTCATGAAAATGTCGTAGAGACGCTCGTAGAAGCGTCGTAGCCATTCTCATGCCTTTTCGATGGCATTTGGCACCACAGTGGTCACAAAGTCATCCACATCAAGTTCATCGTCTACGGACAACCCAGTGTTATTTCCATCCAATTGGGGACACTTCTTTTGAATCGTGTTGCTAAGGAATGCCTGAGATATGTCATTATCAGTCAAGATCTTCTTGGCCGCATCAATTGTCTCAGCTGAAGGTTCTCGCTGACGAGTTAGGATCCAAACGATTTCTGAAGTTGAGAAATAAATTATATTTCTGTCATAAATGATGGACATGCCAAGTTAGTTAAGACGCTGTTTGCATATTAACATTGTGAGTAGACATTTCCTCATTAACTTACTGAAATTTGCCAACGGTGTTACAGCGGTGCAGCTATAGACAACGGCATACGACTCATAATCAGTGCCCAATACTATGTAGTTGGCCTTCGTGAGTGGCTCTGAAATTAATTACGTCAGTAAACAAAATTCAGTGCCAAAGAACACTTAAAGTTTGGAATTACTTACGGCCTGGGAAAAAAGCCACTGCCAATTGACCAGGCCCGAGGACCTTGGCCTTTCCAGTTACATTAGAGGCTTGACCAGTGCTGTTTTGATTGGCTTTGATAGAGTTCATTGATTAAAATTTAATTTCTTTCGTACTTACAATCGATTGATAGCTGCATTCACCACAGAAACAGTGCTATTGTCAATTAGACTATAGTTGGCGTATATGCATTTCTTTCCGATCTCAAAGGCAAATGGATAAGCGGAGTACTCGTACCAGATACCCATGTACTAAATAAAAGAATTAATTAATTAATTACTTTCGGTTAAAAAAAGTATAGCTATATTTTGTTAATTTAAGCAGATGTTAATAAAGCAATTAGAAAAACATGATATGTTGAAGTGCCCACTCCATTCTTAATCTTTCTTAACAAATCACGCGCGCTGAAAGTGTAAAAATTTGATAAGATAAACAAAATTTGCTAATTGAAAAATTAATTGGATTTATCAGATAAGACTATTTACTTGTGTACCAGAAAAAATAGTTTTTCATGGAAAAATATGGAATTCCATATCTTATCGTAGTTTTAATTTTTCTGTTGTGGTCGATTCTAATTAAATGATATAATGTTCAAGTGGATGAATTTATAATGTGAAGACTCATGATTATTCATCATCATATTATTTGTAACAATGTTGCTTTCTACTTTTGATCATGAATTGATTAAAAGAAATTAAAAGTGGTAACACATACTTGACAACATTTTTAAGATTGTCCTTATAATATAAATGAAATACCAAAAATAACATAATATTGTGATTTCCTAATGATTGGCGGGATCAATTGTAAACGATCAGCTATTAGCTTAAGTATTAACCAGATATTTTAAAAGACAAAGCGATTAGGATCAGATGACAGATGGGTAGACCGCTTTAGGCTAACACTTACAGCTTCCGCATCAAAGGTGTCCAATAGTTTGACATCTGGGCACTTGCCGGGAAATGGAACTTGAGCCTTTCCCTGATAAACTCCACAAATGACTGTCAAGATAAGCACCCACAGGTGTGAACTGTAACGATAATTAAGTGAAATGTAAATAGCTAAAGAGCTCTATTTACTGAGTGGCGCGTACCTCGACCGGTGGTGATTCATTCTAGAATTTAGTTTTGTGATATTATCGCTTTACACTGAACTTAATATCTGGTCTACTTCTGGCTTAGAACTGAGGCTCGACTGCAGCTGCATTGTGCTTATATATGCTGATTGAGAGAGCTTTGTTTTGGCGACCGAGCTTTTTTTCAGTGCGCCGACGCAAAGTAATGCAAACAATAGTGAAATGCAGACGATCTGGATGAAAGTTCCTAATGAGGTGGGGTTGAATATGGTAAGGGGATGGGGGTGTTCAAATATCCGTCTGCCAGTGCTCTCGTTACACCCACTAAGCAAATATAGAAAACAAACGCGATATTATATGATTACTCACATAACTTTTGTATGCACATCGCGATAATTCTCTATCTATAAGGGCTTCCGCGTGCTAAGCAGAATGATTTTAATTGCAATTAAGAGATCATTGTGTTAATTAGTTCAATGTCCTGAAAATGGCAAAGTGAAAAGCAGCGGACAGTGAGTACAAAGTATGGGGTGTGAATATTAAATGAATTACACATTTCTTATCTATAGTACATTAATGATTCATTGAATTTCCAAAATCAACATATTTGATTTACAAAATATTCATTTAGCTTTTAATAATTTTTAACCATATTTAAAAACATAATTTTAAAATAAATGCAATAATAATTATTTTTAAAGTGTTTAAAGTAAATTTGTATTATTCCTGAGATTAAAACTAAAGTGCCTAAAGAATTTCTTAGATTACGTAATTAATTAAATATTAATTTTAGGTGCACTTTGCTAAATATTTCTTAATGGTGACTATTATTCTTAAAGATTTTTTAAAGTTATTTATGCATTCAATATGAAACAGAATAGCGTCCACCCACAGAAAAGCTTTTACCATCATGTGGATTGCATTTGTGGCGCCATCTTTTCAGACTGTTACCAGCGCCATCTGTTGAGCGCTTTGCCTGCGCTGGTTAAAATCAAATAAGATAAAATGCTCGTATATTTGAGGTTCCTTTATCTCTTTCTCAACATGGTCAGGAAAATTGTTGACAGTGGCGAGATTCTGCGGTATTTTCTGCAGCTGCAAAGGAGAGAAATGGAATTTCCCCCCATATATTATTAAATTAATTAAATGTAAACCACAAATTGAGTTAAATGTGCAAAAATGCCCGCAGGACGAATGCTGAAGCATTTGTGTGGATGAAAAGGGTTTTTGGGAAAAGAAGAGGTATACCAGGTGATACATGTTTCGGCGAGGGTGAACTGATAAGTTGAAATAGTGCCCTTGGATATGCTAAAAATTTTAATAAAACTATCAAACGTTTTAAGTATTTTTTTCAAGTTATATCTTGGTCCTTGTTGCTAATATATGTGTACAAGTATAAAAGTATTTTAGTAAATGATTAATCAAGTTTGATAACATTTTACTATATTAATTCAATCCGCCCTCGTTTAAAAACTCATATTTTTATACATATGCCGCTAGCGCAGATTTTGAATGGACAGCCAACTATTTGGGTACGGGATTTTATAGCGCCCTTCCTCATGAAAGGATTGTGCTTGGCCCATTTGGATGGATGGCCTTTGCTCGGATTTGCTGTGGCTGCCACTGTTTGTTGCATGCAGCGTGTAGTAATTAAATTTAAAATATGTACACATTTGCCGGACATCTGAGCTTAAAAACAGGTGCAATCCTTGAGGGCTGACCCGTGGAGTGGGGTTTCAGGGATAATTTGATCAAAGGCAACCGTAAGCCTGCAGCTGGAAGCGGACAGATGAGAGCCGGTTATTAAAGGCCATAAGTGCAGTTTTCTGGGTACATCCAAAGCCGGAGCCAGGGGCGTATCTGGAAAATAGTCTTAAAGGGGTGCACTTCCTCGGACAATTGTTTTAATGGTAATTTAAATGTATCTTAAATTTCATTAAAATGTAAAATATATTTTTTTTTGGGTTCAGTTCTTATTATTTACTGCGCTTGACCCCCATTGCGACCTATCTCTGTGGTGCATATGTGCGGTTCAAAGTGCATTGACAATTGGAGATGAGTTCGTGATAACCAGACATCGAAAAAAATGAAGTTATTTATAATAAGCAAAGGTTCTGTTTCCAGGATATTATGAAGATGGTCTTAAAACAATAACAATTCTAACATCTTTCTTTGTAAATTTAAAAAAAAATCTTTACAACATGATGGTTACACCACAACATTTTTAATAACATATACATTTTAAAAGCTAGAAATGGATCGTGTCACGTTTGCATCTGCGAAAGCCCTGCCCACAATTCAATCACTTTGCCATTTTAAGTGCTCGAATATTTTGTGGTTATTCATTCGCTTTATGGGCATTTTGCTGAATGTAATTTGATTTAAACTGAATTTTGCCGGGATATATAAAAATCAGTTCAGTGCCACAGGATATGCGGATATAGCTATCTATATATATAGAGCACGCGTGTGGCCATTTAATTAAGTGGCTACCTTTAAAGCCAGCCGCCAAAATTGAATTAATTTTGATTATTGTTGCAGTTCATATAGGTCTGGGGCTTCGTTTCGGGTTCTGCGACTGCTGCAATCAACAGTTGACATAAAAAAGGAGTCCCAGTTCCCAGTCCCCCAAAGGATGATCACACTAAACTGTCGGCTAAATAACATCCAGGCGAGGACAGCTGGAGCAGCAACATCAAGTGGGTGGAGACACACTCCGGCGACCTTTAACCCGGGCGTGGGAGATGCGAAAAGTGGGGTGGTGGGTCGGTGAAAGCTGGCCAGAATGCGTGGGAATTGCAAAACATGACGCAATTTGTGCTCGCTTTTGTAGCTTGTCCCTTTTGCATGCCATTCTCGCAGGATATTACCAACTGCTCGTGTTCTCCCACACACGCAATGGGCCATAGATTAGGTTGCTTCCAGGGGGCTGAGAGGTACTTGGAAGTACTGCCATTAAAAGGAGATATGGCCAAGGAGTCTGGAAAAAAGCACTGCACACAGGAACAAGAGGCGGGTGAAAAGGAATAATTGATTCGGAATTAGAACCTTAATCTATAAGGATGCTAAGCTACACTCATAGCTTTTGTTGCTATTATATTATCTCTTACAATAAATATATATATTACAGAACCCCATAATCTTCTAATTTTGTTTCGTTTAGTAATTCATCTTAATATGTTCAATAAATGTTAAATTTATTATAACTCTTCCTGTTTGATCGCCCATCTTTTATTTGTATCCAAATCCTCAGGAAAGTTCTTATATCCAACATAGCACCCACCTGATCACCTGCCACGCCATAAAAACCAACCATTCACACAGCCATATCCCAAGTTTTGCCACCTTATTTTGATGTTGCAATCTTGGACAAATTTATTTATTTAGCACATTGTTTTTCGCATCGCTCCTTTGGGCATCAGTTGTTCCCCCAGACTCAGGGACCAGGAAAAAAATGGGAAAACGCGGAAAAGTCTGGCACACAAGAAAGCTAACATTAAGAACAATAACAATAACCACTGGTGGCAGACAACAAAGAATAGGGCAGGGGTTCCGAAAAAGGACCAACTCTCGAAAGTATTTTGATTTGTGAAATGCTCGTAAGTATTGTCGTTTTTGGCGCTGGCGCTGGTAGCAATTTCTTAAATTTTTTATAGCGCATAACCTGTCTGGCACACATGTGCATTTTCCAGGGGGGGGAAATTCCCTTCGTTGAGAACCCAAACCACCCACAAGCAAACGCAGTTTCGCTGGAAGGCTCAAACTCGCAGGACGAAGACGTTGGGCGCTTGTTGGCAACGCTTATTGCATTATCCTCGGCTAGAGTCAGTCAGCCTGGGATAGAATGGATGTCCAGGGGCTGGGGGTCTGGTTCCCCGAGTGTTCAGGAAGATATATCCGCGCCAACTGCCGCAGCTGATGCCACTTTTGGCTCGTGGCAGCCGCGAGCTGTTTGCCCGTTTGTTGTTATCCTGGTTATGGCTGGAGCCAAGGAGCCAACCGGCGTACAAAATCATATTCCTGCGGGTGTACAACGAATACTTCCTACACTCCACTGGGAGATCGCCCAGACTAAAGACCACTGGGATATAAAACATGAGTCTTTAAAGAAAGCAAGCGAATAAAGCGATGGTTGGGAACCTCAGTTAATAAGCTAAAGGTTTACATAATTATTTAAGATATAAGTATTTTATTGTATTCAATATTTTCATATTATTATTTAGTTTAATTTTTTAATTTTTGATTATTTACTTAATTTATTCTTGCTATCCCTAGAATAATCATCTAATCCATATGCCAAGCTAAAATTGAAAGGAACTATGCGAATTGGCACGACTTCAGCTGGGCTCCGGAGTCCTCTCCACCCACTTTCCCTGAAAGCTACACCTCACTTTCTTTATTCTTCCCCAAATGCCTGGCGAGAAATGTTAATACCGAAAAAAGCGAACCATTTGCCGCAATGAAAATCGCGTAAATTTCATACTGATTGTAAGTGTCGCCGTTTTCTTGACGTTGCCATGAAGGCAGAAGCTAGATGGACAATACACGGCAAACAAATTTTAAAATTCTTAAAAGGCTCTTAAAAGTTAAGGGAAATAAATATATTTTAATAATAATTATATGTTGAATGAATTCACATAAATAAATATTTTCAAATAAATAGAAAGGCATAACAAACAACAAGATATATAAAAGTTATTGCATCTGCATTGTTTTTTCAAACTACGTAATAATCATGAATGGATTTTAAGATTAAAATCTTGAATAGCCCAAAAAGTTATTGGTAAATATTTAATATATTTAAAATATTATCAAAATGTATAATTTTTCCCAAGTGCACAGATGTAGAAGCTGCTAGAGATGTAGACGGAACTGCCATTGCCGTCTGTTTTCCTCACCCTTGGACTTCCGTTTGGAGCACTGGTGTTGGCTGTCGCCTGCAGATTGTCAGCATTGTCACAATTGCAATTTTTAGGATGGCATGGGATCCGCTGATTTGGTTGCCATTTCACCATTTCACTATTTGAGCGTTTCAAACATTTTGCGGGCATTTACCATAAAGAGCAAAGCGAATCCAAATCCGAATCCGAGCCAAGAACGCCATTCGATTGCGTTAATAGTCAAGAGTGGCGACCGATGCCAGCTGCAAATCTTGCAAATTGCTAAAGTTTTCTTTGCAATTTTTCTGGTTTTTTCTTGGTTGTTTTTATGGTTTATTTGTGTGCTGATGTGGTTCATACATATGTAGTTGTCATCTTTTGTTTGAGGGTTCAAACTTGTAAGGTGGATATTTTTTTTTAAATTGTTCTTTTTAATACAGAATTTAAATATAAAAATAAATATACTTACGAATAGTTATTAGATTTAATTAAATATTTTAAAACATTTCTTATTTCCTAAAAAAAATTCAACATACATATATCAAATATACCTCTAAGCCATCCTAAAAAAAATACATTCTTTGCTCTACACTTTAACGACTTTTCCAACTGCTCACTTTGTATTCGATCATGTCGCTTCCTTGCATTCCATATTTGCTTGACTTCTGTCCAACTATGATTAAAAAATAATTTCGCAAAAATATTGAATCACGTCGCGTACTTGGCAGCCTGGCAGTCAAAGCGAACGTTTGGCTAGAAGACGGATGGCGCTTTTTGATGGCCGAGAATCAAGTTTGTTTTTACGTGCCCTGTAGAACGTGGAGAACTTGGGCCTGGGGGATGTCAAAGGTCGGTCGCAGCTGCTGCAAATGGCTGGTGCTTTGCCGAAATGAGAGCTCCTCTATATACCCCCATACCCATCCCCATTCCCATCCCCACCAAAACTCACTTTTGGCTATGAGAAATCGCTCGTCATTATCGACGCCTGCGAAAATCCGCCAGCTCAGACACACACCCACATGCGAAGGCGCCATAAATTATGTTACTTCTCTATATATATATGTATCCATATGTATATATAGACATCTGGAGCCGTGAAAAATCGTGCCCCAAAAACTTTGACCCAACCCCAGGAAGTCGCAACTTATTGAAAATCACTTAGACACACATGTGACGCCCGCCTAGTTCGTGAGCATGAAAATGAAGCAGAAACCGAAGGAATTTCAGGGCTATAATTTATGTCTTGGGGATTTGAATTTGCGGATGGGTTAAACCAGCGAAAGCACCTAGGAAAAGTTTACAAAACGGTCAGCCAGGGAGGTTCCGGAAAATGCAAAGCCAAAGGATTGGCAAAATATAAACCCCAAGCAGTGTCAGAAATCGGACAGATGAACAGTTGGAGGCTCTAAGGGCTACTTAATAGACATGACCACCGGCTAAGACCGCCAGCATGTGACGACAAACTCATAATTTATGGCCACATCCCGGCCAGACGCCGAATGCTATCTCTTCCTGCTCCGGGGTGCTCGTCCTCCCCTTCTCCTGGTAGTAGAATGTGTCCAGGATCTCGGTTTCAGTTTCGGCCGGCATTTTGGCATTTCGGGCCTGTCAGTGTCGTCTGTAATTGTTTTCCTAATGGAGGGGAGAGCCGGACCCCAAAAACATGACCGCACTTAAGTTGTCAGCCCAGTTATGGGCGTGGACAAATTTATGGGGCTAAGCAAACCCAGATAATCGCCTTGGAAATGGGTGGTGACACCTCCCGGGCCCTGGCATCTCTTTGTGGCTTAAAATGCAGCTCTGGGTACCGGAAATCACTTGTGAAATGCAACCTTGAATTTGCGAGTTCAAATTGTAAGGGGAGGCCAATTTATAGATAAACGCCTAGTACTCAGATCGAAAAACACGTTCGCCAGGCAAAAAAATATTATTTTTGAATGGATACAATTTCGGACTTCGGATATTTTGGGCGGAGCGGGAATTTTGTTTAAATATGATGTTATCAAATGAATTTTGAATTTTTTAGTTAAATAAAATTATTTAATTAAGACCAATAGCAATGTTGGGTACCATTTCTATTCTTAATTTACGATCACACTGTCCCATTCATCTTCGTTTTATTTCCGTCGTAAATATTATAACTTTCTAATAAATAAATAATTACAACTTTTTTTCGTTTTTCTAATTGAAAATTTCCAAAGGTATGCTAAAAAACGCCAACTACAAATCCAACTATACGTAAAAAATACTGCATAAAAATACTGTGCTTTATTTATACTCAACCAAAACTGTTGTGACTGTTATTCTACGGTTATACAGATACCATTTATATTCATAATTTACGATCACACTGTCCCATTCATCTTCGTTTTATTTCCGTCGCTGGTTGCAAAGAGAAAAAGTAGATATGTAAATATTATAACTTTCTAATAAATAAATAATTACAACTTTTTTCGTTTTTCTAATTGAAAATTTCCAAAGGTATGCTAAAAAACGCCAACTACAAATCCAACTGTACGTAAAAAATACTGCATACAAATACTGTGCTTTATTTATACTCAACCATTTTTACTGTTTTACAACACTAATGAGTTAACAGAATGAGCTTAATTTAGGGATTTTGGATGAAAAAGACTCCGTTCACACTAGATCGCTGTCAAAAAGTGTTTCCTGCAGAGTTTTTTGCCGAATAAACCTATTAAGCAGACCTTGGTTAAGCCCCAGAACAAGTAGCCTTTAAATCGAAATCAAAACGCTTAGTCAATATTTCGAATTGAAAATTCTCATTAAATTTGAAGGCTGAGCAATAATATCATGTTCTTGGACGATTTTGGATTCCCCAAGGAGGTGACTGCAGAAACCCTGAACACCTATCCTTACGATCTGGTAAATCTGAGGCTATTATGGCTGTGACACGTGTAATAGCCATTTTTGATTCTAGCATGGCACTAAACTGCTGACATCGGCGGACACGGAGTTTTATCTACCGCCGAAATGGCATGGCACTATTTACAGTACTGAGGAGCTGCTGCATACCTACAGAAAGCGATTTAATGTGAGTTGATTTTAAAGGAGGTAAAATATTTACTAAAATGATATTACCAGCCGGATCCCACTCTGCTGACCTTCCATGCCATGCAACCCTATGAGCCCGAGTTCATTTGCTGCCAGAGGGCTGTGGTGGAGCTGACGGTCATGCCGGCAGGTCAGAGCCTCTACAGCGATAAGTCCATCGTGGTGTTTTTGGTCAAGCAGCCAGCCGAAGAGAGAAACACTCTAATTACAAAGGAACTGGGCACACTGCTGGATTTCTTTCCGCACAACCATCACTATCACTCCAGGATCATGGACGAGGGCATCGATGTGGTCTATGTGGATGACAAGATCTACAAAACAGGACCGCCCAATAGTTATCAGCACCAGCGTCTGTTCAGTTTGATCAGGAACATCCAGCCGGGTGCCGTGCTGGGCCTTTCGGGAGGTCCTTTGCCCGATATCCTGAGCAGTGTCTGCAGGAAGCAGAAGCCCAAGAAGCACAACTAAGGAGGCGCACCTTCCCAACAAATAATGTCCCCCCTTCCAGCATCATAGTCCGGTTTAATAAACTTTGTGACTCCAGAAGATTCGTCTAGCTCGCCAATTGTTTGCATATCTGATGGCGACGCATTAGTCGCAGTTGGTTGGGCCAACTGTCTGCGCTTTTCCTGTCTACCAATTGATTTGATTATGTTCTAGCCGAAGAGGAGGCGGAAATCCAAAGGAGATTATGAGGTGCTGCAGAGTCAGTTGGATTTGAAGGTTTTATAATGGGTATGCCTATCTCTCCTTATTTTGAAACATCTTTAGTTAACTTTTACAAATTGAATTAAGTGTTCCGTGCTCATTTTGGCTTTCGAATTGGAACCGTTTGCATCATTTAGTTATTTGTTTATACATTTTCTGTGGAACTGCAGTATCTCAGCTCAAGTTACTTAAAAATGCTTTTCACAAATTGTAGTTTTAATAATTAGGAATATTTGTTTAAAGGTCGCATAGTCATATTTTTATTTTTTGTCGCATACCTATACCATCACCCCATAAAGATTATCCTACAACAGTTTTCTTATACCCCATTTAATCATCTCCAGTGGGTGTAGTCCATATCCCCATCCAGTTGTCAATAAATATATTTTTGGACTATGCAAAGCACTCTTTGGCATAAACTTTTAAGTCTTCCCACACTTTAACCCTCCAGCTCGCATTAGTATTCATAACAAAATGTCATATATTATATTTTTGGGCGTACCAATGGCCAAATCCCTTTGGGCAACGAACTGCGTGACATCTTTGTTTGTGGTTTGACCTCCTGCATGGCCAAAAAGTAATATCCCTCCTCTCTAGGTCCTTGTTCCCCAAGTTCCCCTCTTTTTGGGACCTTTCGGCCTTTGGCTATTCGATGGGTTTGCAATCGCTTTACTCTTTTGTTTTGTGCCTGGAATATCTAATGGATGCGTGCAACTAATTGAGTTGCCTGCAAAAGGACTTCGCTTTCCTTCTTGAATTTGCAAATCCTTTTTTTCGAGTTAAGTCGTTTTGCCATTGGTCGAGCGTTTCGGAAGGACTCAGTACTTAATGAAGCGGATGTGAGGATTTTATAGAAGGCACAAACAAATTGTACGCAAATCAAAAAGTTAAACATTCTGGGGAAAAGTTTTCAGCGAGAGTTGGTTGAGAAATAATGCGTTAGCTTAAAGGAAATTTCAGGAAGAAATGGGGTAGTTTTTTTAAATAAAGAAAATATTGTAAAATATATTTTAATTTATTTTTGAATAAATCCCATTTGTGCTTATTTAATTATTAAAAAAAACAAAATTCATTGAAAAGCAATAGGTTACCTTTTAAAAATATTTTTGTGGTTCTATTTTAATTATAAATATTTTGTTTTGACAAACTTATCAATCTTACCTACTTTCAAAACAAATCTGGGACAAATTCTTCCTTTTTTCTGGAGAAATAGTTGTCAGTGCTCTTGAAGATTTACCCATTTCAATTCCAATTTCCTTTTCCTATGAGAAAGCAACCTGTTACCCCGCACCTGTTCAATAATTGATGTAAATCTGTCACCATTGTGAAGTGCCACACTCGTTGCCATTCCAATTTTATCTGGCTGGTGTTGAGCACCTTGTTGATCCCTTTTATTCCTGTTCCGTTGTTGTTTCAAACCTGCAACTTGTTCACAACTTTTGATGGCACTTGCAGGAAACAACAGGAAAAAAGACAACACCATGGAAACTTCACAGCTGTTGGACGAAGGAGGGGGGCTTATGCCCTGGTAACCGAGGACTACGGGATGCAGAAGCCTATGGACAGGCTGGAACTTATGTATAAGCTCTGGGGGAATGATAAATAGCCGGGCTCAAGTGGCCACCCCGGCATAGAGCGACCTGCAGGCCAAACGAGCTTCTCACCTTTTGGCCTTATGCAAAAAGCAAAAGACGGGGAAAATCCTGGAGAAAAAGTAGCAGGAAAGGCTGCCAGGATAAGCTCGAAAACGTAATGAAAATGAGATGAAAATTATTGCAACGTAAATCAGGCGCTCCTGGGGCGCCCAGCTGGGAATATCCTTGGAGAGCCTGGCTCCTGGTTATCCAGCTATCCAGCTATCCAACTTCCCCAGCCTCAACCGATTTTCCCCCCATCTGGCTAAACGTTTTCCACTGCTTAATTTGGCTTTCATTGCTTCGGATTCGGTTCGTTTCTTGCCGTTTTTTCCCTCCATTTTTCGATTTCGGTGCGGCCTGACATGAATTATTTAACGATCTCCAGCTGCGTTGATGCGATTTTCGCCAAGGATGCCTCTAAATTAAAGCCATAACAAGCTTAATGCAAAGACAACCGCAAAAGAGAGTATCAGGGCCAAAAAAAAAACCTTCATTTAAGGCAACAATGTTTGGGTCAGAACAATAAGCGATGCCATTCCCTTCGGGATTCCTTTTCTGCACATGCAAGGTCTTAACTCTTTGTGCCGACGTCGACTTTCCAATTTCAAGTGAAAAATCCCGCGAATGAACATGTAAACAACACACTAGGTGGACCAATGAAAGCCGGAGAGGGGGAAAATGCCAGCCAAGGGAAACAGGCAGGAAAAACAAAAGAAAAACCACCAAACCCAAAGAAAAATCAACTCTGAGTGTTTGCTCGAATAGAGAAACAGTCTATCTTGATTTTGAGTATTAATTCAGATAAGCATTCGAAATTTTTGAGGCCACACTAAAAAAATAAATTAAATAAATGCTTTGATAATGATTTAAAATCTACATCGAAGATGAACATTAGAAAAATTTTAATACCTATATTAAAGAATTAAAGGCCCTATAACCAATTATTTTGCTTTCAAAACTGAAACTGATCTTCAAAATGTTTGAAGTTATTTTATTTTATCTTAAACCCAATATTCCCTTTCGGAACCCAAAACTTTCGCTGACGTGATACAAGGCTAAAAACCAAATGAAAACTGCTCTGCGGGGGGTCAAGCGGAGTATCTATATCTGCAACTGCAATGGCTAAAATGTATCTGTATCTGCGCAGCGTCAATGTGTCTGGGTATAAAACAGTTTGCAACAAACTCGTGGATTTTCGGAACGAAAAATCCTAAAACCAAATAAAATGTGCTGTGGAGTTGAACCCACTTGAAATATATATATATATTTTTGGCAATGAAAATAACCCCGCACAACGGCGGAAAAAGAGTCTAAAAAACTTGTTATAATAAATGGAATGAAGCGCCAACGCGTTGAGCTGCACGAGAATGTTGCAACAGCGGCGTGGCACCAACAAAATGCAGCCAGCGCATCCTTCCCAGATAATCCCTGGGAAATTTGTCTGACTTCCACACACCCACACCCCCCTTTAAGGCTGATGAATGACGCCGCCGCTGTGCAAATTATAATAGCAATTTGCATTATGTGGGTGGTCGGTATAGTTCGCCCTTGGCCCCCCCCCCAAAAAACACCCAAAACTTCCCCCTCCTTTTATGAGGCGGATTAAGCGAGGCACATTGTTGCCAGCTGCGTGGCGAATGAAATTTTAGATTGCCGAGTTAGTTATGGCGGTTAAGTGGGCGAATGTATTCGGCTGCCGGTGGGCTAATCACTGGAAGTTGTTGTCAAGGACTCAATGTGGAAATGCTAATGGTTTCCGGAGGAATTTCTGTTTTCCAGAGAAGAAGAAAATCGGTTTATTTCTAGGAAATAAGGAATTTCTGTTCTGAATTAAATACTAAAATATATATACTTATTAAATTTCAACCCGATGGTTGAAACCCCGCAAAAAGTATAGCTTCTTTCATCAATTCAAAGAGTGAGTGTAAAATTGCACTTAAGACAATTCATCACCCCATTTGCAGCCCTGCTGACATCATCAGCTTTTCTAATGACTAACCCCATAAAAATATCCTCACATTCTAACAATCATCTAATTGAAATCGAGATGAGATCAACCGTACTAGCCCACACCGAGCTCAAGCCAAAAAAAAAGCCATTCAATACTTGGAACCAATTCCACCCCATGCAGAAATAATTGCAAATACATAAATAAATTGATGGTGGATTGTGTGTGTTTCGGCGGGGCTTTAAAGCATAATAAATTTTGAATGCGCCATTAGCATGATTTATGCCCATTTAATTTTTCATAACAATGAAAAGAGCACAACAAGGACGCAGGACACGCGGGATGACAAACAGGACAGGCCGGCATTAGCAGGACAATGGGGCAGGAAGTTTCCCAAAGCGAAGGGAACTGCTCTCATCACAAACAAGAGTGCATAAAAAATGCTGCGAATGAGGCGACAAGCGGCAACATAATTGAATAGTAAAAGCGTTGCACTGAAATTAACCACCACAAAATGACGCAAATAATGTTAAAGGTCTGGGTGGATTGTGGAGGCTGTATGGTCACTGCCATGTACGGACGATTAAATTTCATTGAAATTGAATTACATTAAAAACGGAGGAAAAAGAATAATATAAAGGAAGCCCGGAGGAGCAAAGTGCAAAAGGCAAACGTTTCAGTCGGCGGGTCCTGCAGGACAATAGTGCACAAATTAACTTACAAAAGCTAAATAAAAATTGCCAACGCGGCAGTCCAACGTGTTGTGTGAATGGGTGGGTTTTATGCTATATAGTATATCCTGACTGGACGCATTTTCCTTTCATCCTTCGGCCATCTGCCTTAATTTCAGCCCCCATCCTCGGCGGTTTATACTGCTCTGGGCTCTGGGCCTTGGACTTGTTTATGCCAAGTTCTTATCGCGCTCATTGTCATCCCACCGAGCAAACAAAATAAGCAGCCCGAAAACGAGTTGCTTATAAAGTAATTTGCGGATTTATTAAAAGTTTTCAGCGCCTTCAGACGCACTCTTTGTCGGCAAAAGAGTGGAAAAGGCTGCTTTTCTTTCGCTCCCAGAGACTGCGGCCAATTAGTTTGCCTAATTCCTGAGGTGAAACGCAAAACGCTTTAATTGAATTCTGCGGTCTTGGCGGAGGGCACAAACAGTTGAGAGATATTTAATCAGTTAAGGAAGTTAGGAGGTTTGGGTTTTTAAGTGAGCTAACTTGTAGATCACTTTA